TTTACAATTGTGGTTTTAAGAATAAACTAGGAATTGTATAGAAAAATACATTAATATATACTACTGAAGAAACAGGTGTAGCCCTCAGGGTTTTTTAACATTAAAAAAATGTATATAGGAATACAAAAGCCTTGAATAAACATTTCCTTTTTGAATTTAAACAAAAATCTTTCCTATTCTTTAAACCCTCTCCAAAGCTTTCTTTAACTTTATGAAATTCTGGAGTCACCAGTTATATTAACATCAAATACAAATCAAAGACAAAATAACTCTTTGCTGTTAATATCTTTCTATTGATAAAATTTAAAGATTATTAGCACTTTTGGCTGCCGTTTTACTGTGGGAATTCCATTTTAACTGAGCATTTTCCATGGCCACTGTGCCTTCTTGCAAGTCCCTTCTAGATATAATTTCTCATTCAGGGAAAATTGCTTTTTTTTTTTTTTCTTTTTTTAAATGCTGACTTAAAAGCTGCTCTGTGTTAAAATGCATGTCATTTGCAGGCTTTCAGGCAGTGCTCTTTGTCAGTGACCCATCTTGGTTACCATTTTTCTTAAGAGTCAGGTGGGTGGAGGAGACCCATGTGAAATTGCACATTGTTTATTTGAAGCATGGAAACGCTTGTGTTTCAGTGAATGCTTATAACACTCTAACGCAAATGAAACTAATTACTCAGACTACCTGAACGCCACTGCCCTGAGATCTCAGCCTGAGAAAGAAACCCCACCTTGAAAATTTCAGTCTGGACTAAGCCATAGTTACAAATACGTAACATTGGAAGTTCAACACTTAATGTTTGTTAAAAACAACACAGATGTATCTGAAGCTGCTAACATCTTTTAAATGCAACTGCTATAAACATACTTTGATATATTTCAATGGCAATTAAGTTATCTTCTGTCTTACCTAATGGAACTTTAGTCTTGCTGTTCTCAATGCCTTGTGCTATTAACAGCTTTTTTTGAGACTCATTTTAAGATGGTTTTAAAGCATGAATGATTGCAATAAATATTCGTAATGTGGCTTGCTGTGTTTGTAAATTCATGTTTGAGTTTTAATCTGTTGATTAATTTGTATACTGTACATTTGTATACATCCATTCTTTTGAATGGCATTGTTCTTGTAGTCCTGCCACCTCTCTCCTAACACTTCTGTTATGTGCAAATACATATTCTCAAAACTATATAAACTATAACTATAAAACTATTTACATCTGTTCTCTAATACTGTAGACTAGTATCTGTTTGGTGTTGAGACCTGCAGTGACTACATCACTAACATGCATATTTATTAAAAATATCGGTGATTTAGCTGATGCATTTTCAGGTGTATCTCATTATCTGACTGTTAACTTCGATTTCTGATGTGAAATAAAGAAGAGAATTTTGTATACCACTTTCTCTAAAGTGATAAATGATGTCAAAAGTAGATAGCTTTCCTCTCTTGTTTTAGAAATAGGATGAGTAGTCATTTGACATTTTAATGCTGTCACTAATTTCATTGCTCTGTTCATTGCCATTAATTTAAATATTGTTTTTCAGATATGAACATCTGCCTTTTGCAAGTACTGTTTTTTGCTAATATAGAAACTCTTTAACGCATTGGTCAAACACTTTCATAAAAACAGGTTGGGTCATGGAAAGCAATAATAAAGAGATTTGACTATTATGGAAGTTTAGGTATCATGTAGACTGCGTAACCTTTTTTGGAGGGAGGGAGATGAGTGTGTAAAGTGTTTTTGCTGATAAGTAGAGTACTCTTCCTTGTTTACTGGCTTGCAAAAAATGAGTTTTGTTTTGATTGTCAAACTTTCGGCCAGCAGCTTGCTGTCTCCAAGTCCCGTCTAGCAAAAGCACCAGCAAGTTCTTAGTGCTTCTAATAGTGGCTTCCTTAAGGGCGCTCTGTCTAAATAGGAGGTATTGATATACAAAAATGGAAAATTGGAGAATGTTGAATGTTTTCACCTGTATTTTTAAGTCATGCTGGTTTTTGGTGTTTTTATTTTTTCTATCTTTGACTTTTAAGGCTTATGCTTATGCTGAAGCTGTCATTTTTTGGATTGTACCTTTTTTGGGGGCTTATAGTCCAGGCATTCAGCCGATGTATCCAGTGCTAATAAAAGTAGTTGCTAGGTCATATGTATTAATATGAAACCAAGTAGCTTTTTCTTGCTGCAATCTTTAAAATGCAAGATTAACTTTTAATACCCATTTCATCTTCTTGTACTAAACGTATTGAAACACAGTAATACAAGGTTATGAAAATCAGATAGCTTAGATATTTTCAAACAGTGAGTGATACATACACGCTGGAGGCGTGTCTTAAGATGTCAGACTCCATTGTGTCTAAATAAATACCATGAAATTATTATCTTTCCTGGATATCAGATAGGTTTTGTCAATCTATTTGTAACAAGTTTGCCATTGCACTGTCACACTTTTGCTATCATATTTAGAAACTACAGAAATTACTAGAAGTGTAGAATTTTTAGCAAAATAAGAGACCGTCTTTAATGTTGTATAAATATTCAGAGAAGAATTTGAGAAGTATAAATTTTTAAATAAAGTTACCAGCAATTGTCTGGGGAGTAGAAAGGAGAAGTGCTAGTGGACATCTGAATTATTAACACTCTTATTTTAGAGGAAGTAGATAGGAGATTAAATAGTAGATAAACCTCAATGTAATGTACAAAGTTTTAGGCGGGGGAATGGAAAATGCGATCGTTGTGTTAAATGCAAATACAAATTTAAAAGAGTAGTTTGAAGAGGGAGAAGATGAATCCTTAAATTTAACTTTACATTAAATTTTCATTCTCAGGCTTAGAATTGGAAAGGATAGAGAGCACTCCTGGGATGATCTCCTTAAGTAGTGGTAATAGAGAACAGATTACTTTTACTAATAACTTTCTTCAAAATAATCCGTCTGTCCCCATATTTACACGTTGAACTTGAACTGCTGTGAATCAGCTCTTAGGATCTTTTAACATCCTTAATTTTAGGCAGATGTTTCTTGTGTTTATGCATCATCTTTCACATGATTTCAGGGAGGTATGGTGGCGAAAATGAAAAATGGAATTGAGCTGCCTGTGGATGACCTGAATCTAATTTTTGTTCTGTAAGGATTCACTCATTTGCCCTATATGCTATAAGGAGCCATGGACTTCTTGCCATAAGTCTGTTGCTTGTTCAGAATTTCTTGTCCTGCTGATGTAAAACATGTGTTGCTCATCTCCATTGGATTTTGAAAACAATAAGTTATCTACTCGACTTTCCTAGGTACTATAATTTGAGCATTAAACAAGTAAATGAAATTAACATTTGTTTTATTTTTGTTCAGGTAGGGTATCACCAACTATGTAGGATTTTTGAGCCCTCTGAAGCTTACTAGCTTAAATAGATCTTGGTTGTTTAATTTTTGTGTACCACCATAATTAATCATTTTACAGACTGAGTTTACAGTAGAGGCAGTAGCAGTAATTGCACTCTAAATAGGTTAAAGCCTCTGCACACAACTTCTTGCAGAAGCTGTGGAGTCTCTGAACACTGTCCCCAGATGTGAGGCAGTGTATGCTAAATCATTACTCTCCCATCTGCGGAGTACAGAGCTCTGAAGAGACCAAGAAGGTCTTTTATACCAGGCATTAACAAAGCGAGTATGTGACTCGATAGTTTGGGTGTCCCAAATGTGCCTTGCTTGGGTGCAAAGAGCTTGCAGCGCCCCGTGGTCCTGTGGCAGGTGCCTGGGCCGTGGTGCTGACTGCAGGTCAGATAAGCACTTGTCAAGAACTGCTTGCTGCTAGTCAGGAAGCAAGGGGGTGGAAAGGCCTTCAGATAAGCATCAGGAAATGCTTCTGCCGAGTGCCTGGCAGTACTTTGTTTACTATTTCTTGGAAATTCCTGCCTTGTCATATTCATCCAGGAAAAGCACCATTATTTCAAGCTCTGCAATGTGCATTAGCTTCTGTGCTTAGTCACTGACTGGCAACTGTGCTGTGTGCTTGAGAGATGCAAATCTCAGGCTTTCTGCAGTTGCTGGAGGCTGCAAGAGCTGTTGGTCGGTGGCATAGGTTGCTGAATCAGCCCAGGGTGACTGAGTTCAGCCCTTTTGTGACTTGGGTGGACGTTGCTCTGAGGAGAGAGATGATCAGACATGTGTGCTCCTTTTGCAGCACCATCCCTTGGGTTCTGTGTCATGAAATGTTAGGGCCTAGATGGAGATTTGTGCTTTGTTCTGCTCTTCTAAAGCTGCCTTCTCCTGCGGGGCTAGTGGTAGCTTTATTCATCCTAAGATTTTATCTTAATTCTTTTTTGTCACTTCTGCTAATTGTTTGCTTGCTTGATTTGAATAATTGATTTTCATTTCTAGAGGCAAGTACTACTCTTGACCTGTTAATACGTTCTACAGCTTTTACTCATAATATATTATGCTTGTAGTATCTGCTCAAGATAGCTCGAGACAGCACATAACTTTATTAAGTGAAGTTACCTGGATAGTTTTAATAAAAATGTTTCAAGCATAACAAGATTTTATTTTCAGATTGTGCTATCAAACCCGCAATACACTTCCTAATTTTATTGGATAGCATTGTAGATTATCTGAACACTTATACATTTAAATATGACCCTCTCTTCTCTTTTCTCCTGCGCCCCCCTGCCCCCCCCCCAAAAAAAAAGTGTTTTTGGTGCTTCCTAGTTTCTCTAGACTTTGTACCTATTGGTCCTCTATAGCTAAAAACAATTACTGCATGCAAGACTGAGTACCAGTAGCGAGAGAGAGTGTAAACAGGAGCTGTTAATTCAGGTGGTTCAGCACCTATTGCACAGCATGGTATTTCTCTAGCAATGGAAGAAGCAATATGAAGTCCAACTGCTTTCTCTTTCAGTTCATTAAGTTGCCATATCACGCTTTTCATAACAGGGGATAGATGGTTATAGATGTCTTTTTAGCTAAAAAAGAATATATGTCATTTATATTAACAAAATCCACTTTTACCTTCACAGATAAATTTGAGCAATTTTGGGCCATAAATCGAAAACTCATGGAGTACTCTCCAGAAGAGAGTGGATTTCGGTACATCCCATTTAGAATTTATCAGGTAGGAGAAAATGAAATTAAAAAAATTACCAAACTCTTTTAAGAAGCCATGTATCAATCTCAGTGGTGTGGAATCATGTATGCCCCTTTTTCTTTTTAACATGATGGTAAAGCTTGGTGTGTACACTGATCTTTGCTGGACCCCTGAGTTGGACAACTTAGTTAAGACCCAGTGGGCTGTATTTATCCTACTGGGTGTTTGCCATTCGTTGTGTGGTAAGGGCATGATGCTCAATATGCAGAGATGGTCTAGATGCTTTATTTTTTGCGGGGGGTGGGAAGGGGGAGTGGGTGCGAATTCCATTATTAAAATTACCTGATAAATGTGAAGACTGCTTGGAATGCAGAATACTTTCTAAAAGAGCAAAGTAAAACGTTTTGGGAACAACATTTTTCTCTCAGCACCGATGTAGGCTTCTTCTCTTGAAAGAGAAAGTTAAAGCTTGGATTCCTACCTCTGTCTTCTTACTCTTAACTTTTTTTTCTAACCATCTACATTTATTTTCTAGACTTTCGGAAATTTTTCAAGCTTAAAAAAAGTGTATGTATATGTGACATGTTCTGTATATTCTCAGCATATTTTTCACTTGTTGCAAAAAAATCCAACATAAGGTAAAAATGAAACTGATGTGTTTAGTGATCAAAGCTTAGCAACTAGTCAGTGAAATAAAATGTATCTTGTGATTTGTTTAAAAATAAACAAAAAGTAGCCCCCTAAAAGTTGCATTTTCTTCAGGGTATCTATTAATAAATGGTGGCTGTCTGAGAATTTAAAGAGTACCTGGGCTGCATTTACTTATACAAAACAGATTTAGAAAACTCTCAAATTGCACAGATTTTATGCATGCTTTTCTGCCTTGTGTTGGTTGTTTAAAATGTACAATAGTTTCTCCATTATTTGCTACTTATATTTTATTATAAAAAAATACCTTTGAAACAAAGCTGGATTTACAGGATAATTCTTGTAGATTTGCAAAATTAAGAAGTGACCAGTAAAAGTTGGTCAATTGTGCCCTAATAGTTGCTTTTCATTTCTAACCCTCTAAGCATTTTGAATTGGAATGAAGGTTTGAATTAAGCATATGTAGAAGGTTATACAGAATTCATATAATCTGTTATTAATTGAGCAGTTCTACTCTGTCATGTCTTTAAACAAGATTAGAATGTTTACATCTACGTACATTTATGTTTTGCACCTGTCGTTATAGAAAAAACTTTTTATAGTAATATTCTGATATTACTTTATAACAAATTTTAATGACTCATTAAAATATATAAACCTACATGATCTTGTTATGGGACCGAAGTAATTTTTCATGTTAGATATAAGACAGATTCATTGTCATAATGAAACCTTAGATTGAGAACGGAAGTCAGTTATTTTGTCAGATCATAGCAGATGGCAAGGTTTGTATGACAATCAAAAACTATGCATCAGAGAAAGTAGTTCACTCACAGTATTTTACTTGGTTGGTAACAAAGTTATTCTCTGGTGTCTCTTTTTCAAAAGTTCTGTTTATTTTTAGAGAACAATAATACCTGTCCCTTAAGATATGTTGGTAGTGCTTAATAGTAAACATCTTTGTCACCTTTTCTTTGGAACTGCTTGAGTGTTGTCTAAACACCAAATACCTAGTTAAGACTAGAAACACAAATGAAGACAGTACTGAGACATCCCTTTAGAAGGCTGGTGAAGGTCACTTTCAGTAATACTTTTCTTAATAGTTGCAGATATTTTCAGTGATGTTGCTCTCTTTCAGAAGGTTGATGCAGGTGTTTTTAGCACTTTGGTTTGGTTTGTTGCTGTGTGCACTAACAACTGCTCATCTTAAAAGCTTACGTGTTCAGAGGACTTTTCAGAAAGTGTTTCAAGTAGTGAGATTATACCTTGTTTTCCAATGAGGAATCTCTCCTATAATGTAAATCTATAGGACATAGTAACAGACTAGTGACAGCATAGTGAAATAACTGATTCAAAAGTATTCTTAAAATGTCTTTAAAAACTCCACACTCTTAAATGTATTATAAGTTATCTTTTGTGGTGACAAAATTGGGCTTTGCATTCTAATTGCTTGCATATCCATGCATAAGTACCTGAAAGCTAGTTAAGCCTTGGTTTGTATTAAAGTAGGCCTTGATTCCCTACCTACTTTTGCAGGTATCTTTTTATAAATTCTTAAAGATACATGGGTAGATGACAGGCCCTTACTAGGCTTTTGCAGATTCACATGATGTATGTCGATCTCAGGGCTTTATAACGCTGCTTTTAAGAGTCCTAATGTCCCCAGATTTTTAGCACTATTGTGTTCAGAGTTTCTTCTATTATTGCCTATACCTTTCATTCCAAAACATTGGAATGAAATTCGGTGAAGGGAACTGCCTAGATTGCTTTTGTTCCTGTATGATATGAGTTGCTTTCTTTTAAAGAAATGTGCTTGAATACAGTAAAAACAGCAGATATAAATCAACTAGGAAAAATCAGTCTTAGTAGTGGTCAAATCTGACTTTGGGGAAAATTGCTGCAGATTAATGGACATAACAGAGTAAACTTGCATAATTTTCAGTGAAGGCCAGATATCTTCAAAACTCAAAGGCTCTTTCATTTGTAAAGCTTTTCTATTAAAATACATTTCTGAAGAATAATATGAATCATACATCGTGTGATATCCAAATATGATGTTATGTGGGGAAGAGAGATGGCAAAAATATGAACAGAGTACTTTGGTAACTCAGAACTAAACTAACCACGAGTAATTTTAAGCCTTTGCCCAGCACCTCTTCTATTAAGTGTAGCAGCTAAGATTGAACTAGAATCTTAGCATCTACCATAGGAAATAAAGAGAGTGTTGCTACTGACCAGCTGAATTGCCATTTTAGAAGCCAGCTAGCTTCAGCTTCTAAAAGTGAGCTAAGAGCTTCTGGCGGTTTTATTACCATAGTGTAAACTATTCCTTATGGAGCTCACGCCAGATGAAGCTTTGAGATAGGTGGAGACTTTCTACCAGAGGCAGTTTAAAAATTGTGTTTATATTTTTGTGGCACTTTTTCCTTATTCACACATGGCTTATGAGGGAGGACAAAAAAAAAAAAAAAAAAAAAACCTATTGCTTGTGCCAGAGAAGATGCTGTCTTTAGTTGGCAGTTGCGTGATGAACACTCTTTGCTCTAGTAGTCCTATTGAAGAGAATAATTTTTGTGTTTGTTCAAGAGAAAGTAATAATGGAGTATGAAGTACATTATACATCTAAAGGGCGCTGCTTTTCTCTTGTAGTACTAGAATTAATTTGGGTTGAATTTCTTCCATCAGATCAACTGGTTTTGCATTTTCCAACTGAATGACCTGTAGGCTGATAAATACCAAGAAGTTTTCATCAGGCTGTGGTGAAGCCTCTGTCATCAGGCCTTGGAAGAGGGCATTACTAGCTGGACACCGAAGAGGAGTCTCTATGTACTGACAGAGACTGGCCTCATCAACCACTATCTGCTGTCTTGCACTATAGCTGCCTTTCCAGTGCATAGGATTTAAGGATGAAATAGCTTTTTATTCTTGAAAGTCAAACTACAAAAGTATGAGAGAATGAATGGAGACTGTTCATGGTAAGAAGCCTTCTGAGCTGTTCAAGTCTTGCTTGACTTGTAGTAGGCTTTTTGACAGCTCCACAGTGGAGATTCTGGGGTGGTTTGCTTACTTGTTCCTTTATTTGGCTATTGGACATGCCATTGTACTGGAAGGAGGTTTTACTTCTATTTTCTAAGGCAATTGGTTTAATTTATTAATTTTATTACCTACTTATATCATATGCTTTGGCTCTGAAAAGATTTTTTCCTAAGTCCCTTGAAATTTTCTGGTAGATCATGTGAACACCAATTGTTTTGATATGTATCTTAGTAATGTAAATTTTGCCGCATTTCATACTATGCTGGTTAATCCAACACATTTCCTGATGTTGAAGTTGCAGTATTGAGGTGACTACCATGACTCGTACCCTAAAACCTGGGAGGCAGGAGGAGGGAGCAGTGTTGTGAGCCATTATGATTCTCTGGCTCAGTAATTGACTTGGAAGCCCAAGCAGGGCCCTTTCCCAAGCAATAGGAAACTTGTGCTCATATCTCCGTGCTCCCTGGCAGAGCTCAGATAACCAGTTCCAAAGACCATGGCAATTACGCGGATCGGCACCACCGACCTGTGCAATAAGCATTCAAAAGCTAAATCCAAACAGATCTTTCAGAAGGATGTTGGACCCACCTATAAAAACTGCAAGTGATTTTTATACTAATAAGGTCTTGATTTCTTTTGTGCAGAAAATCTCTTTGCTTTTCAATCCTGCATTTGACTTCAGCTCTAGTTTTCAGGTTTTGGTTTGCCCTCTGCCACTTTAAAAACCTTCTCACCTTCTAACCTCTAAGTTCACATACAGAGGTGATTTCAACAGCTTTGGTTTTCTTTGATAAACTGAATCATCTGAACTCTTTAAGGCTCACCTGTGTCTTCCTTTTTGTCTTCCTCTTAACCACTAGCTTATATTTTAATAATCTTCAAGTCTAATATTAAAGCTTGGGAAGTCAAAAATAAAGCTTGATTATACAAGAGCTTAGATTAAAAATACTTGAAATATCAGTAGGGTAGAATGAACTATTTCTTGAAACTTCAAGTCTGTGAAAATCTTTGTCAGAAGTTAAAATTGCAATGTCGAGTCAACCGGAAGAGCTAGAAAATATAACTGCTCTTGACCTGAAGAGGGCAACGCAACACAACATGTTTCTGTCTCTTGGCTAATGTGAAATGCTCTCGAATAGACATATGTGTAATCCTGCATTTAACTTTCTTATCAAAAAGTCTCAATTTCACATAGGACCTGCTGAAAATAGAGCAATTTATTTAAAACTTTCTTTTAAAAAGTGCCAGTCTGAATAGAAAGACTCTTGCCAAATTATGTTTGGTTTGTTGAACAGAGCTATGCTCAACTCTATTTGTGTTCTTAAAAATAAAAATAATTTTAT